CCCCAAAACCCCAAAACCCCAAAACCCCAATATATCCCAACATTATCGACCGAATTAATAAAAAGACTACAATTTCTTCAAATGCCTGATAAAATATCTCCTTGCTTGCTCTACAAGCTCATGCTCTCAATGCTAGTCTTTGGCTCTGCCAACACTGTGTTTCTGAAGATGATGAACCTTTCTTACTTCACAGACAAAGATGGAGTCAGGAAGCAGTTTTACCATGCTTTCTTCCAGACATTCATCATGTTCATTGGAGCCTTCCTTTGTATAGGAGTGTATGAGATTATATATTTCAGGGATATCAGGAAATATGAAGATTATGAGAATTTACCTCAGGTTGATGAAGCTAAGAGGAAGGGCAAAAAGACCAGAATTAATATTTTAATCCTATTCATTCCCCCCCCTGCTTTGATATCATTTCATCAACTTTGTTGATACTACCTCTGACAATGATTGCTGCTAGTATTTATGAGATGATGAGAGGCATTATTGTATTCATTGCAGCTATTTTCGGCATGATCTTTTTGAAAAGAAGATAATATATCCACCATTGGACTTCACTGATCTTTGTAGTTGGAGGAGTAGCCATTGCCGGCGCAAGTCCTCTTATATTCAAAGATGATGAAAAGAAGCAGGAAAATACAAATACTGTTCTTGAAATTGCATTGATAATTATAGCACAATTTTTCACACCAGCTTTTATGGTTGTTGAAGAAAAGCTTCCTGCAGACTACATGCTACATCCTCTTAAAATCGTAGGTCTCGAAGGGCTTTGGGGACTGGCCATTTACATCATGTTGCTCATAATCTTTCAGTTTATTGAATGTGGGAATAAAGATATATGACCAAATGGTAGACTCTAAGATACTCCTCTGGCTTTCCATGCAATGGGAAATAATCCAATGATTATCTGATATGCAGTAGGTTCTATTCTATCAGTAGCATTCTATATGAGTCTTGGAGTTACTGTCACTAAATATGCAAGCGCAACTCAGAGAGTAACTATAGATATAAGTAGAACTCTTGTCATATGGGGAGTGTTCTTAGCCAAGCCAGGAGATGGTCACGAAAGATTCATCTAGCTTCAACTAGTTGGCCTGGTAATTCTAGTATTTGGAACTCTATTTTTCAACGAAATTCTTGTCCTTCCATTCCTAGGCTTAAACAAAAACACCAAGGCTGCTATCGAAGAAAGACACAAACTCTTACACCCCACAGTTGAAGCCTCCGAACACAGCTCCATAATCTTCAGTACTTTTTCCAAAGGTAAGATCAATATCACTGAAGACACACACCCCTTACTCGATGTCACGCAAGATAATTTCTAAAATTTTCAACCAACATCAAATCCTCTGGGGTTTTGGGGTTTTGGGGTTTTGGGG